CCACATTTTTTTTTAAGTTTATTTTATTTGGAAAAGGAGAGAGAGAGAGAGAGAGAGAGAGAGAGAGACCTTCTATCTGCTAATTTGTTGATTTATTTCACAAATACCCTCAACAGCTGGTGCTGGGCCAGGCTGAAGCCAGGAGCCTGGAATTCAGTCCAGATCTTATGTGTGGATCCAACAACTTGAGCCATCACCTGCTGTCTCCTGGTGTGTGCATCAGCAGGAATCTGGGACAGAGAATGGAGCCAGAACTTAAGCCCAGGCACTTACATATGGGAAACGGGCATCTCAAGCCATTGGTTTAACCACTGAGCCAAACATCCACCCCCCAAAAAAATCTTTTTATTTATTATTTATTTGAAATGCAGAAAGAGCGAGAGTGAGCATGCGTGCTTCTACCTGCTGGTTCACTCTCCAAATGGCAGCAACAGCCAGGTCTGGGTCAGGCCAAAGTCAGGAGCTCCATCCTGGTCTCCCACCTGAGTGGCAGAAGCCCAAGCACTTGGGTTATCCTCTACTGCACTCCCTGGCCACAGCAGAGAGCTGGCCTGGAAGAGGGGCAACCGGGACAGAATCCGGTGCCCCAACCGGGACTAGAACCCGGTGTGCTGGCACCGCAAGGCAGAGGATTAGCCTAGTGAGCCGTGGCACTGGCTATCCTCTACTGCTTTCACAGGCACATTAGCAGGAAGCGGGATCAGAAGTGAAACAGCTGAGGTTGGACCTGGCATTCTGATAGGAGATTCTGGTGTCGTAAGCAGTCTTAATGCACTGAACCACAGCAGTGGCCACAGAATCTCAAAATCCCACAATTGCCAAAGTATCATTGAGCTGCTTCTTTTGTAGAATTTCCATTTTTAAGCATATAGTTTAGTGGCATTTAATATACTGACGCTTGGTTGTTTCTGTATTTCGGCTGTTGCCCGTGGTGCTGCCGTGCGCATTCACATACGCCTAGCTGAGCCCCTGCTGTCTGTCCATTTGAGTGTGTCCTGGAGGTGAGCTGAAACACCCTGTGGCACTTCTGTGCTGAACTTTTGAGGAAGCACCAAACACAAGCGTTAGTGTTTGCATTCAAAATACATTTGTCACAATTAAGAGAAGGAAAAGAGGTATCACGCTCACCACACTCCAAATCCTAATCGAATTCCTGAAAACAAATTGTGGTTGAGGAAAATCCAAGTGGGAACTTTGGTGCTCGATTTCTGGATTTCAGGAAAGGCTGCTCACTCACCTTTTCTGTGTTTCTGAGAGCTGCTGGCCTTACCTGTGACGCCTTCAGGGAGGAATGAGGCGGCGGCTTCTTGGTCCCCCTAAATGTGTGTTCAGTGGTAAAGTTTCTTCATAAACATTATATTTTCAGGGAAAAAAATAGATCTAATTAAAGGCCCATATTCTTCTTACGTGAGAACTGTCATGTTTATCATGTCTGCTCTGAACATCCCTTCTTGTCATTACTGCCCTGTGGCATTTTCTTATTTTTTAAAAATTATTTACTTGAAAAGAGGCATGAGAGAAAGATCTTCTGTCCCCTGGTTCAGTCCTGAAATGTCTGCCACAACCAGGACTGGGCCAAGCCAAAGCCAGGAGCCAGGAACTCCATCCAGGTCTCCAATTTGGGTGACAGGAACTCAAGCACTTGAGCTGCCATCTGCTGCTTCCCAGGCTGCCTTATCAGGATGCTGGATAGGACATGGAGAAGCTGGAACTGGAACCTGTGCTCCTTATGGGTTACCAGTGTCCCAAGCAGTGGCTTAACCTGCTCAGTCACACCCACCCCCATGGCATCATTTTCAGTAGCCACAAACCTCTGTTATGTGTTTGTGTCTGTCTGTCTTTCTCTCTCTGTCTCTCTCTCTCTGTATCTGTCTCTATCTCTCTCTCTTTCTTTTAAAGAGTTACACACAGAGAGAAGGAGAGGCAGAGAGAGAGAGAGAGAGAGAGAGAGAGGTCTTCCATCTGCTGGTTCACACCCCAGTTGGCCACTAGAGCTGCGCCGATCCAAAGCCAGGAGTCAGGAGCTTCTTCTGGGTCTCCTGCATGAGTGCAGGGGCCCAAGGACTTGGGCCATCTTCTACTTAACAGAGAGCTGGATCGGAAGTGTAGCAGCCGGGTCTTGAACCAGTGCCCATATGGGATGCTGGCACTGCAGGCGGTGGCTTTACCTGCTATGCCACAGTGCCAGCCCCTGTGTCATAATTTATTTAAGCAGTCTCTTACGGTTGGACTTAAGGGGATTTTTATAAATTCTTCCTTTTCTTTCTGTCACCTCCATCACTTGAGTAGTCCAGGTGGCCTGTAGGGTCACTGCTATCTGAGTGATCTTTCCCTGGGGCTCTCCCTTCTATCCAGGATCCCTGTGCCTGTCTGAAGAATGTTCTTCAGTCTTTGCTTTACTCTTGTCCCTGGTCAGCTCAAGAGCAACTGCGTCTTGACTTTGCAACTGGTCCAAAATCACACCTTCCCTTTAAGGTTCCCCCAAGTCAGCCGGGAAGCATCTTCTGCTTTCTTCCCAAGTTCAGGAGCCAGTCAGGCCTGTGTGTTACTCAGCACGTGTAGCACTCATTTCTTCCGGGGCCTGGCAGTGCCACTGGACATGCCCGTGGCCTTGTCTCTTGAGGCTCCACTTACCTCTCTGGCACCTCGTAAAGCCCTGGAGGTTGTGCCTGCCTTTGCGTGAGCATCTGTGTCAGCAACACGGGCCCACACACTGTGTGAAGCAATAAAACCAAGCCCTTGTTCCCCACTGGATGGACTTAGAAGGTCCCAGTCCTGCTGGCCCCCTGACCCCCCAGCATCTAGAACATACTCCTCCTTTTGCTTCGTCCTTGCTGCCCCTCTGTCTGGAAGGCCCTCCCAGCCTGCTCCCTGGGCTCAGATCCAGGGTAAATGTCCTTTCCTTGGAAGGACCATCCCTGCCCCCTGCTGGAAGTAATTCTGTTGCTGCTTCTTTTTTATTTCTAAAATATTTATTTACTTATGGGAGGGGAAACTCCCCAAGTGCTTGCAATGTCTGGGACTGGCCAAGCCAAAGCCAGGAACTCGGTCTGATCTCCCACATGGGTAGCAGGGACCTGTTGCCTGCCAGAGTGCACCTTAGCAGGAAGGTAGAACCAGGAGTGGAGCTGGGACTCACACACAGACATCCCAATGGATGTGGCCATCCCAGTTGCTGATTTAACCGCCAGGCCCACAGCCTGCCTCACTCATTGCTTCTGTCCCAGCGTTTTGCTTGTTTGCTTTCAAACCCTTCGTCCCAAGCCGTCCTCACCCCATTTCTTTACAGACTGATTGCCCATCTCTACCATATCTAACCTTGGGAGAGCCTGTCCCATTCTCTCCCATTTACCTCTCGCATCTGCACAGTGCCAGGGTGCTCAACTAATGAGACTGGAGGGAGTGGGGCGTCAAGGGTGTGCTTCGGGTTTCTCGCTGGGCTGGTGGCAGGTGGTGGTGCTGAGCTCGGAAGCTCTGGAAGAGTACTCACGGATAGCAAGAAGGAACAGAGGTAGTGATGTCTCTTTGGTACCGTTTGAGTCGCCTCCTAACAGCTTATGTGGAACATATATGGGCCTGGAGCTCAGGAGTAATGCTTGGGCACTGTGGTTCCCACGCCTTTGGTCATTTATTAAAAGCTGCCATGGAGATGGGAAATACAGACTCCTTTCTGTAGGTCATCACTGTTCTGGGGAAACCTGATCCATAACCCTCTCAGACTAGAAAGCAGGAAACTGAAAGAACACAGTGAGAGTGAAGGAAGATCTATTGAGTCACAGGACCCTCGGGGATTCCCGGGAGGATGACTGGCTGGGGCAGACCAGCGATGGAGAACACACAGCACAGGGTGAAACCCCGTCCACCCAGGTCAAGGGGGTCACTTGAGTAAATGGAAGTGGTCCCAGTTCCTCGTTGGCTTCAGCACCGAGGACTCTGGGCAGAAGCCAAGCCAAGCCTCTAAACTGTGAGGTCTGCTCTAATTTTTGGCCTGGATTTAGGGATGTTTTAGTCACCTCTTCTTCAGCCTGTTGGTGAGGCAGGGGTTCCCAGCTTAGGGTCATAGCCACACAACCAACGCTGCACAGATGACATCGGCTGCAACTGTTAGTGACATAGACCTCCAGAATGGGGGAGGAGACACAGCATACCCTGGAGGGCCACCCAGGAATTACCCCCAGGAGGGAACAAGCAGGGCCACAGTGGGAGGCAGACTTCTTAGTCTTTTTTTTTTTTTTTTTTAAGATTTAATTATTTATTTGAAAGTCCAAGTTACACAGAGAAGGAGAAGCAGAGAGAGAGAGAGAGAGAGAGAGAGGTCTTCCATTCCCTGGTTCACTCCCCAATTGGCTGCAATGGCCGAAGCGGCACTGATCAGGAGCCAGGAGCTTCCTCCGGGTCTCCTATTCGGGTGCAGGGGCCCAAGGATTTGGCCCATCTTCTACTGCTTTCCCAGGCCATAGCAGAGAGCTGGATTAGAAGTGGAGCAGCTGGGACTAGAACCAGCACCCATATGGGATGCCAGCACTGTAGGCGGCAGCTTTAACTGCTACGCCACAGTGCCAGCCCCAACTTTGTAGTCTTAAGGGGGTGAGTGGTCCCTGTTCCCTCAGGGATAAGCAGGGCTAGGATCAGGCCCTCTTGATGCCTCTCGGTGAGGAATGTTGTTTGATAGAGGACCTGTTCCAGGGAAGGGTTGGGGGGAGGAACTTGGGGTCAGGCCCCTCTAGGTCCTCCTGATTTCATCAAGAGTCAAGGCAGCCAGTTCCTGGGATCAAGTCCTGCCTCCACTTCCCATCCAGCTTTTTGCATGGGAGGAGCAGACAATGGCCCCAAGCACTTGGGTCCTGGCCCTCCATATGAGAGACCTAGATGGGGGATTCTGGCTTCTGATTTTGGCATGGCTCAGCTCGGGCTGTTGTAGGCATTCAGGGAGTAAATCAGTGGATGGAGGAACTCTCTCTCTCTCTCTCTCTCTCTCTCTCTGCCAAATCAGTGTCAACTTTTTTTTTTTTTAAGATTTATTTATTTATTTGAAAGGCAGTTAGAGGGAGAGTCAAGAGAGAATGAGAGAGATCTTTCATCTTCTGGTTCACTCCCCCAACAACAGCCAGGGCTGGACCAGGCCAAAGCCGGGAGCTTCATCTGTGTGTCTCACATGGTTTTGGAGACAAAAGCACCTGGACCATCATCCGCTGCTTTCCCAGGGGCATTAGCAGGGATGTGGAGCAGCCAGGACATGAACAGGTGCTTAACCTGCCACACCACAATAAATCCATCTTTTTAAAAAGCTGTGAAATTGTAGACCTCAATTTTAGGCCTTCCTGCACTGTGTGGGCTACCACAGTGGATCTCCTGACCGCCCTTGTCGTTTGGTTTGGTCCTCAAACCAAACCCACAGCCTGAAGCTTGCAAAGTGGCCGCATCCCCACCACCTTGAGACAGGGGTTTTTCTCAAAAGTACACCGAGAATGTCTTCCTTTACTCTAGCAGCTCATCTTTTTGTGACTTGCTAAGAGGAAGTGAGAAAAGAGAGTCAGCCCATTTGGCTGCATATTTTGGGCAAGTTTCATGGAGTGGGGAAGCCTGAAATGAGAAGAAAACTATGTATCTATGGCCATTCCCAGATCACTTCTCATACAGCAAGCAGAGGGATCTTTATTTTATTATTTTCTTTAAAGATTTATTTAAGAGGCAATGTTAGGGAGAGACAGAGAGAGAGAGAGAGGTCTTCCATTCATTGGTTCACTTCCCAAATGGCTGCCATGCTGGAGCTGGGCGGATCTGAAGCCAGGAGCCAGAAGCTTCTTCCCGGTCTCCCACATGAGTGCAGAGCCCCAAGCATTTGGGCCATCTTCTACTGCCTTCCAAGGCATATTAGCAGGGAGCTGGATCCAAAGTGGAGCAGCCAGGACTTGACCTGGTGCCCGTATGGGATGCTGGTACAGTAGATGGAGGCTTAACCTGCTATGTTACAGTGCTGGCCCTGGATATTTATTTTATAAAAGTACTTCTCTAGCCATTTGTTTTCCATTTTTGTTTATTTTCATTTTATTTGAAAGGCAGACAGAGAAAGAGAGAGAGATCTTCCATCTGCTGGTTCATGCCCCAGATACCCATAACAGCTAGGGCAGGGCCAGGCCAAAGCCAGGAGCCTGGAACATCATTTTTTATTCAAACAGTCAAGCTAAACAAGAATACTTCTGCTGACACATGAGAATTAGGAAGGTTTAAACAGTGGTTTCCTTTAGAGAGAGAAATGCAAGTGCGTTGCCAATTCCACACAGAATCAGTCAGGCTGTGGCAAGAGAACAGATCTCTCGGGAGACAGAGACACAGCAGTGGATCCTGGGCGGTTACCACGGTCAGAGAATGTATTCAAGTTCAATAAGACAGATCCTGCAACAAGTGACTCTGCCTTTGGTAGTGATGCTACTTTAGGCAGTAGTTGAAAAGCAAGAACACAGACACAGCCGTGGAGGTGTCTGAGGTGACATCAGCCCCTCACCCAGAGCATCTGTGGGCAGGCGGAGGAGGATAGGAGAGTTTGCCAAATCCTGACTCCAAACGGGGCCTTTGTGAGTGACGGAAACGCACCAGGAGTAAGGCAACAAAGATGAAGGTATACAGGTGTAGACACATCCGAATAAAAACCTGCAGCAGTAACATAGAATTTTTTTTTAAGATTTTATTTATTTATTTGAGGGGCAGAGTTACAGAGAGAGGAAGAGACAGAGAAAAAGGTCTTGATCTGAAGCCAGGAGCCAGGAGCTTCTTCTGAGTCTCCCATGTGGATGTGAGGGCCCGAGCATCCTCTGTTGCAGTCCTGGGCTATTAGCAGGGAGCTGGATTGGCAGAGTAGCAGCTGGAACACAAACTGGCACCCATATGGGATGCCGGCACCGCAGCAGAGGCTTAGCCTACTACGCCACAGCGCCGGCCCCGGCATAGAATTCTTAGAGTAAAAACATCACAGTTCTGAAGAAGTCAGATAGAACCTACTTTTCAAAAATATCTGTGAAAAGGTAATAAAAATGAAAGTTCAATCTGGCATAATTAACTTGATTCCTGAGTTTAAGGCCAGAGAAAACCTTGGGTCAATAAAAGAAGGTTTTTATTCATGCTATTCTACATTTTATTCATTACTGGCATTCATACAGTGGTAGAAAGCTGCTGGTTTTTAAAATGTGTCAAAATGGTGAATCTTGGAGTATGTGTAAAACAAACTCGCAGATTCATCACTGGCCACGGTACTGAACAGTGGGCTGTAAACTGTGTCTTACTCTGAATGGCCGTTGCGAGCCACACGAACAGCAGGCCGCAGTGAGAAAGCCATGAGCAGACGATCCTGGAGCAGGACCCTCAGCCCCGCGGCTCTTCAGGCTCACATTCTCAGCAGTTGATGCACAGGGATGGAGGAGGGTTGGGTGGGGGCTGCTCTCTGCGTCCCATCCAGACCACACTGGTTCTGACCGGCGGCAGAGCACAGGACGGGAAAGGCACATGCTGGTTTCGAATGGCAGCAGTCACTTCCAGGCACAGACTCGCCCTGAGGCCTGGAATGCACTGGGTAGCTCAGCGGTTAGAGCGGACAGGTTCCAGGGCTGGTCTGGTGAGTTACCCAGTTGGGTCTGTAGCCCTCCTGGAACGTTCCATAGAAACCTAGGCTCCTGAGGGGCTCCCTGAGAACCTTAGAACCAGAGAAGGAATGGTTTCAGCTTCAGGCTCGCTGTCAGTGATGCTGCCGTACAAACTGAGTGACTTAGATGGCCACTCGGCTCTCTGGGCAGACAGGAGGTGTTTGTCTCACTTGGAGGTGTCTCACGCAGTCTCAGTGACATGTCAGTAGACTTCCTGTCTCCCATGTTTGCTGTCTGGGACGAGGTGGCTGGAAGGCGGGGTGGCTGGTTGGGCACTGTGCTCTCTGCCTGGCTGCTGGGGTTCCTCTCCCCCAGCAGGGAGGAGAGTTAGATCGCCCCAAGGCAGGAAGTGAAAGCTGCCAATAATCCTGAAAGGACTCAGTATCAAGTTATGCAAGGCAGCCAGCCTGCCCATGCTGCAGGGGAGGAGACGGAACCCCTGGGCCTCTGCCCCCACGGTGAGATGCTTTGTGTGCAGGTGGGTCTTCATACATGAGCAGACAGTGCGTGGATAACATCTCAAGTCTCTGCCACATCTCTGTGAGGTGGTCGGTTGGATAATGGGGAGACCGGGAGACCACGATGCAGACACTGAAGGCCTGGGGTCCTTCCACTCCCTGGTGAGAGAATTGACACTGGAATCTGAATCTCCTAGCTCAGTCCTTGCAGAACAGTTCTGGTTGGCTTAGCCAGGTCGCTGCGCTGACACGTACAGTTGTCTCTGGGTGTCTGCAGGAGGCTGGTTCCAGGAGCCCCCTCAAACTTCAAAATCCACGTCTTTTCTATAAAACAGTGTAGTATTTGTGTGTCATCCCCACACATCCTCCCCTATCCTTTCAATCAGCTCCAGGTTCTTTATAAACCCCCCAAAACAGTGCCTGAACTTCACTCTGTGTGCATTCAGCATAGAACTCGACGTGCAGCAAATTCAAGTTTTGTCGTTTGGAACTTTCTGGATTTTTTTCCCCCCAAATATTTTCAATATGTGGGTGATTGAGACTGTGGATGCAGAGCCCATAGACATGGGGTGGGGCTAGCTGCTTAGAGCTGCAGGAGGAGAGAACACTTCCCCTTTGGCTGAAAGTTGGGCGGCAGATGCTGTAGGGGAAGCTCGGGGCACTGGCGGAGGAAACGTGAACGCGACTTCCGCATCCCCATGCTGTCAGTAAGGGCTCTTGAAGCCACTGTACGGCCCTTCACTCTTGGGAAACTCCTTTCGGATCCTCCAGCGGCAGCAGCTGGGCAGGATGGCAAAGTCAGCCAGGTCCTGGGAGCCGAAGCGCCAGGCGATGTAGCACCTGTAGGCGCAGTGTCGCAGCTGGCTGGTGGTGGCCTCTGCATCCAGTGCCAGCAGGGGCTCCTGGTAGAGCAGGAGGAACTGCAAGGTGGGCTTGGATAGCACAAGCTTCCCAAACAGCTGGGAGGTAGTGACGCAGGCCCCTGGCTTTCTCCGGCAGCACAGCTCCTCCAGGCAGCGGTGGCTCGCGGGGAGTTGGGACGGCAGGCAGTTTCCACACTGGCACCAGTCCGGACAGCCCCTGGATCTAGCAGTCTCCCCTTCACTAAGTGGCTGCATTTCTTCTGCTTGTCCAGGAGTTGGGTGTGGGTCAAGGAAAGACAGGGGCAGCTTGGACAAGTCTGTGAAGTCCCTCGGGGGTCTCTGAAAAAGTCAAAATTCCCAACCCATCAGCAGTGACAACCCTAGGACTCCATCATCGCATTCCTATGCTAACTTACAGCATTGCATTCACTACCGGGCTAACTACGGTGACCTCCATTTCATTTAAGCCTTTGAAGAACCTCATGCAATAGGTATCCTTGTCTTCGTTCTGTGGATTTTGAAAGTGAAATTTAGGAAAATCCAGGCTTCAGATCAGGATGTCACCTCTTGCCCTGGCCACCCTGGCTAGCCGCTCAGCTCCCGGGCAATCACTCACCGCACTGTGACGTGTTGCATTCTTCAGCAAACTTGTTACCACCCGAAATGATCTTACTAATCTGTGTGTTTGTTTGGTGATGAGAACGATGATGATGATTCTTTTTCTATAAGAAAGCAGAGATCCTGTGTGCTTTGCTGACTGCCGTGTCACCAGGCCCAGCATATAGGCGACAGGCTGTGTGCCCCCTGGCTCCTTCTGCTGGCGTTCTGCATGTCAGCCTCCAGGAGGAGCTGCCGGAACAGCCATGTCTGTGTGTGACAGAACCTTTGTTCACTGGATGAGGACAGTCTGAGTCAGGCACACTCGGGACCTGAGTAGTTCTCGCAGCAGGAGTTTGGCCTGAGGGTTAAGAAACCTGTTAAGATGCATACGTTCCCCCATTTGTTCTAGCTCCTCCTTGAGCCTCTTGCTAATGTGTACCCTGGGGGGAGTGACCCGTGGTCCAGATACCTGGGTCTCTGGCACCCACGGGGAGACCTGGATTAAATTCCTGGCTCCTGACTTCAGTACTTCCCAGCCCCCACCACTGTGGGCATTTGAGGAGTGAACCAGAGGGTGAGAGCTTTCTGGTCATCCCCTCCTCTTTCTCTTTGAACCTCAAATAGATTTTTATTTTTAAAACAAGATTTTATGTATTAATTTTAAAGGCAAAGTTACAGAGAACGGGAAAGATAGATGGATCAATTGATCGGTCAGTTGATTAATCTTCCATCTACTGTTTAGTCCTGAAATTTGCTGTAATAGCAGGGGCTGGGCCAGACCAAAGCCAGGAGCCTGGAACTCCATCTGGGTCTCTGTGTGGGTGCAGGGGCTCAAGCACTGGGGCCATTTTCTGCTGCTTTCCCAGGCACATTAGCAGGGAGCTGCATCAGAAGTGGAGCTGCCGGGACTCGAGCCAGTGCTCATATCGAATGCCAGTGTCGCAGGTGGCAGCTTAGTCTGCTGTGCCACGATGCCAGTTCCTCAGATAAACTTTTTAAAGAACTGACTATTTATTGTATATAAGTGTTCACAGAAGCACTCTTCACAATAACTAAAAGGTAGAAACATCAATTGTGTGTCCGTTAATTGAAGAATAAAGCAGACATGATGTGTCCATATAATGGAATATTACTTAATCATAAAAAATACTGATACTGACACAACATGGATAAACCCTGAAAAAATGCTTAATGAGAGAAGCCAGACGTAAGAAAACCACATAGTATATGATTCCCTTTATACAAAATGCCTGAAACTGGCAAATCAACAGAGACAGAAAGTAGAGCAGCAGTTGGCCAGGGGTGAAGGGAAGTAGCTACTTAATGCACACAGGGTTTCCCTTAGGGGTGATTGGAAAGTTCTAGAATTAGACAGTGGTCATGGTTTCATAGCATTGTGAATGTACTAAATGTCACTGAATTGTACACTTTAAAATGGTTAAAGTAGTAATTTTTATATTCACATACACACACACGCAAATGTTTCATGTAAGACCTAAACTCTACAAGGACATTACAGGAATGGGGATATTTTGATCATTCAAAATGAGATATACAAATCTTTGATATTAGCAAATCAAATCCAGCTTTGACTATAAAGTATTGCATCTCATTCAAATTAAGTTTATTTCAGAAAACAAAAATCAACCTGTATAATAACCACATAACAAGAAAACAAAAGGATACTAGGAACACAAAGGAGTATTTTTAATCTGATAGTGCATTCCAAAAAGAGTACTGTAAACACAGAATATTTTTAAAAAATCCATGGAAAATAGGTAAGTTTCTTGGTACATTTTTAAAAAATCTATGCACAGTTTTTTTCATAGTATACATTTCCCATGAATTTTTTAAGACCCTCTGGTACTATAGCAAACAGTGAAATGGAAAAGCTTTCTCTGAGGGGATGAGACCATGATGCCTGTGTTACCACTGGGTCCCTGCCAGTGTTAAACAGGAGATACTAGGAGGGAGCAGAGAAGGATTCTTCCTGAGAACCAGCAGAGGGGGTGAGGGCCCTGCCAACACCTTGGGTCAGACCTCTGCCTTCCAGAACCGTGACACAGTACATTTCTGTTTGAAGCCATCCAGCTAGTGGGAATTCGCAGCCCAAGGAAACTATGAGTTAGCAACGGTGAGCCCGAACTCTGGGCAGTGCAGCACTGTCTGTGAGCAGCTTCCACAACCAGCTCGGCCATTCTCTCAGGAATTACCCAGCAGGGTGCCATGTGGGGAGCCGCAGCCCTGCTGGCATTAGCACCCAAGTAGAAACCAAGTAGGAACACCCCCCACCTGGAGAATGGATAAATAAACTGGATGTTTACAAAATGGAAGTTACACAGCACAGAGAATGAACTGTTGCTGTATGCAGTGTCATGGACAGCACACGAGAAGTAGCATTGAGTGAAAGGAACCAGACACTCTACAGACTATATACGGAATGTACACCTAGGGTTCTGTTTTCACAGGATTCTGGAAGGTGTAAAATTGATCTTTGGATACAGGATGATGACTGCTTGTTTACATGTTACACAGTGACTTAGGTCTAAGCCAAGGAACACGGTAAGGGCAAGATCAGAGCCAACAAGGCAAACAAATCTCAGTCCCTCGTGTTGGCCTCTGAGTGCCCTCGGCAAAGCCCACCCAGCTCACTTCCTCTGAAGCCCTTCCATGTAGAGCAGGTTAGGACACTTAAGGGTGGTTAGTGATGGGATACAGTCCTACAAGAATATTCAGTTTTGTAATGTGGTTGCTAGCTACGTCATTCATCAATTATGATTAGTTCAAACTTCTAGATGTGTTTATATTTAATAGTAAATCATATAGATGTATGTATGTATGTATACAAAAAGGACCAAATATTGCAACTTACTGGGATTTTTTGGCCTGGGACATCCTGCAGACTTTTCCCAAGGAGCTGCTGGTCCACCATCCGAATGTGGGGTTCATCCACAAAGGACACATACTTTAGTGTCTAGGAAAGGAAAGTATAAACGTTTACCCATTTTGTACAGAAAGATCGAGAATTGCCTTTCTACTTTCTGTCTATCTAAAGACAACCTCATTCCCACTGACCAGCTGTCAAACTGGTGAACAAATTAACCAAAAACTTTTGTTAGCCAAGAATGAATGATTTCTGAGTCTAAGAGTAAACCAGAAAAGGAAGCCTTTTGCCTTAGCTTGTAGGCTCAGCCTGTCCACAGCAGACTGCCTAACAGTCTTAGGTCTACCAAATGCTATGCCAGATTCCTTTGTTCTATTCTCTCAATATCAGTTACTCTGGATTTTCCAGAAAGTTATACTACCGCAGCTTCAATTATTGTGTTTGTAGAATTTCATCTCGCCTTGGGCCATGAAATGGTGATTATTTCTAGTTGCAAAAATGAACTCTGACTTCACTGTGCATACACGAACAATGGACAATGAATGTGCATTGAGCTGCTGACAGGAAGGGCAGTGATGTCCTTGGATGTGGGGAAGACAAGGGAGCCTTCTCTGTTCTTTAGGTGCCAGAGGTTTCTCTGGTGGGGAGTATCGTGGAACAGAGTGCAGAGGACCTGCTTAGTCAAGTTCAAATCATCGAATCGAAGCAAGTCACACGAGGCTCGTGTTCCCCTGACACTGCCCCACCCCCACCTAAGCTCGTTTCCAGAAGCAACCACAGTTACCATGTTTGTGGGTGCTTAATACTTTCTTGTACACACATGTATTGTATAATAAAATAGATGTGTAGGGGCCAGCACTGTGGCGTAGCAGGTAAAGCTGCCGCCTGCCATACAGGCATCTTATATGGATGCTGAGTCACATCCCGCTGCTCCACTTCTGATCCAGCTCCCTGCGGATACAGCTGGGAAAGCAGTGGAAGGTGACCCAAGTGCTTGGAACCCTGTACCCACATGGGAGATCTAGATGAAGCTCCTGGCTCCTGACTTGGGCCTGGCCCAGCTGCAGAGGTATAGGCCATCTGCGGAATGGAGTGGCAGATGGGAGATCTCTCTCAGTCTCTGTAACTGTGCTTTTCAAATAAATAAATCTTTTTTAAAAGAAAGAAATGTAGAAAATATACAGAACTTATGTTTGTAGTTGCTTTAACCTCACAACATACTTATTGTGCTGCTTGCTTTATTAATCTCAACAAAATGCCTGAATGCATGCTCATGCCAGGATCTGTAAGCTTGTGGCTATGGACGTGAATGCTGAAGCTCCGATTAGCTCTGACACATTCCTGCCGTAGAACTTTGGACAAATTATTGAACCTTCCTGTACCTCAGCTTACTCCTGTTTAGAAAGACATAATAGGGGCTGGCGCTATGGCGTAGCCGGTAAAGCCTCCGCCTACAGTGCCGGCATCCCATATGGGTGCTGGTTCGAGTCACAGCTGCTCCACTTCCGATCCAGCTCTCTGCTAATGGCCTGGGAAAGCAGTGGAAGATGGCCCAAGTCCTTAGGACCCTGCATTCATGTGGGAGACCTGGAAGAAGCTCCTGGCTCCTGACCTAGGGTGGCCCAGCTCCGGCCATTGTGGCCATCTGTGGAGTGAATCTGCAGATGGAAGACCTCTCTCTCTCATCCTCTCTCTCTCTCTCTCTCTCTCTCTGCCTCTCTGTAACTCTGCCTTTCAAATAAACAAATAAATATTTTTAAGGAAAACTTAAGTGCCACTATTATGTCTTCTTTTTTTTTTATCAGTAGGGCTGTTGTGAGGATTCCTTGAATAGATACATGACATTTAGAAGTACTGTACAGATGTTTTGATATTATGATTGTCTCCCATTTAAAATTTACTCAGGACCAGACAGGAGGATCTTGTGGGCCATAGACGGAGGCTGGGGGGAGTGGAGGTGGGGGAGTGGGGGTGGGTATTGGCTGCAGACAGGATATCCTGCAGCCCTGATCCAAGGGAAGCTGGGAGTGTTTGGCATCCCGCATCCACGGCACAGCTCACCCGCCTTGGCTCCACGAGAGACTCGTACTTCTTCCTGTGGTAGTACTCGTTGGCCGCACAGGGCTCGCAGCACGTGCAACGGGGATAGATGTGGGAGCGGCAGCAGTTGCTGGAGTAAGTGTTGATGAGAAAGTCGATGCACACGGTGGCCTGGGGGAAACCCAGACAAACACCAGGGGCGTGAGACTTCCTCCTGCAAAATCACTTTCTAAGAGCGTAGGAAAGGGAATCTCTTACCAAACCAAAGTAGGAGAGCGTTGAGCCGATGTACACAATCAGCTGGATGATGTCAAATTTTCCTCCCTGAAAACAGAGTGGGAGAGGTGACTCAGCTGAAATTCAGAGACGTTGTTTTGCGGTAAGTTGCAGTTGTTGGTTCTAGTGTGAAGTAGGCCTAGTTCTTTTTTTTTTTTTTTTTTTTATTTGACAGGCAGAGTTAGTGAGAGAGAGAGAGAGAGAGAGAGAGAGAGAGAAAGGTCTTCTCTCCGTTGGTTCACCCCCAAAATGGCCACTGCAGCTGGCACTGCGCCGATCCAAAGCCAGGAGCCAGGTGCTTCCTCCTAGGATCCCATGCGGGTGCAGGGCCCAAGCACTTGGGCCATGCTCCACTGTACTCCCGGGCCACAGCAGAGAGCTGGACTAGAAGAGGAGCAACTGGGACTAGAACCTGGCGCCCATATGGGATGCCGGCACCGCAGGCAGAGGATTAACCAAGTGAGCCACAGCGCCGGCCCCCGAAGTAGGCCTAGTTCTGCACCGAGTGCTCCCGGGAGCAGAGACTGAAGCTGGGGCTGGTTGATCCTGTTTCTGCCATCCAAGGTGTCTTCGGACCCATGGATATTTTCAACAAAAGCCCGGAACCCTCACTTTAAGCGGAGAGCCATGGACGGCTTCTTGTTTTTGCACACAGGGTGAGGGTTTCCGGACGGCTTTGCTTGGACGTGGTCTGAAATCACTTTGGCAGCAGAACGAAGGAATTTCTGCACAAAGTCTCCCCTTGGATGACCATGTCGCTCTTGCTCCTAGTGGGCTCTGCACCTTCTCGGCTGCATCCCATCCAACCGTGTGCTGCTCATTGCTGTGTTACATGAATCACGTGCTGTTGACCAGGGCGGGGTGGGCTCTGTGGGGCTCTGCGCACCTGGCATTCTCTTTCCTCCTTTGGTGGCAGCACCCTCATCTGCTTTTGGAGGACTGACTCTCCCTCAGTCCATATCGTTTGATGGAGGGTCCAGGGGAGGCTGGCCCTCTCCTCTGGCCCCTCGGCTGGGACAGGGCTGGTCCAGGACAAGCCACTGAGAGTGTAGCATGGCGTGACTGCAGTGTGTGTGTGACCCACACTGGGCCAATGGGAGCCTCAGGTGGCTGCTGAGACTCAGCAGAGGTGTTCTCTCTCCACTGGGGTTGCCATACTGGCAAGAGATAAGCAGCTGCCTGACACAGCATGTGGAGGTGGCCCTTCAGAGGCTGACACCAGGACAGAGGGGAACAGGTGTAGGGATGGACGGACACAGATTCCTGATGATATTGGTTGAACAACTGGGTCTAACCATGCCTGAAGCCTGTATTGACCTCTGGATTTTTCAGTTATGTGAACCAAGTGAACTCTCTGCCCCAATGACATATTTCCCCTAAGCCAACTCAACTTATATTCTATTACTTCCAAGTATTTTGCAAAAGGATTTTGTCCTCTCTTGTTTTTTAAGTATTAGAGTATTTTTCTAAACTGAATATTAGAATTTTTTCCCCCAATCCCACTCTTGTGATTGTTGGATGGTTTCTTTATGGACAGGCTCCCTCCTGTCTTATGCTACATGCAGAATGCACAGTGCCAGCTAATGACTGAGACCAAACCCGCCCACCCTTCAAGGCACTGCAGCAGTAGTGAGGACACGGTTCCGGAATGGAGGCACCCGGGGCTGGGAGGAGAGACTTACGGTGCCAAAAACCAGAATGTCAAAACGGATCCCGAAGACTTTTATCAGAGTCCGTTTCTCAACGTTGTTTTCTTTATAGTACTTGGCGTATCTGTAGGAGGGAAAACGATCCATATTTATCAAGATCTCTTTGAAAGTGCTGGTATTTTAGCCAGCATCGTGGCTCAGTAGGCTAATCCTCCGCCTTGCGGCGCCGGCACCCCGGGTTCTAATCCCGGTTGGGGCACCGGATTCTGTCCCGGTTGCCCCTCTTCCAGGCCAGCTCTCTGCTGTGGCCAGGGAGTGCAGTGGAGGATGGCCCAAGTGCTTGGGCCCTGCACCCCATGGGAGACCAGGAGAAGCACTTGGCTCCTGCCATCGGATCAGCGCGGTGCGCCAGCCGCAGCGCGCCAGCCGCAGCGGCCATTGGAGGGTGAACCAATGGCAAAGGAAGACCTGTCTCTCTCTCTCACTGTCTCACTCTGTCAAAAAAAAAAAAAAAAAAACAACAACAACAAAAACTGGTATTTTACGAAAGGAAGAGAGCAAAACAGTAGCCCATCTAGTCTTCCTCGTCTGTTTTGCAGCTCTGCCGCTGTTGGCATCAAGAACAGGGTCTGAATCCATCCGTGACTCTCTGTGGCCACCTGCAACCAAACGTGACCCCCTAGATATTCCTCCATCACAGAGTGAGTGACATCAGCTTTAAGATTAAAAGGAGAGTGGCCAGTGCTGTGGCTCACTAGGCTAATCCTCCGCCTGCGGCACTGGCATCCCATATGGGTGCCGGGTTCTAGTCCTGGTTGCTCCTCTTCCAGTCCAGCTCTCTGCTGTGGCCCAGGAAGGCAGTGGAGGATCGCCCAAGTGCTTGGGCCCTGCACCCGCATGGGAGACCAGGAGAAGCACCTGGCTCCTGGCTTCAGATCAGCGCAGTGCGCTGGCTGTAGCGGCCATTTGGGGGGTGAACCAACAGAAGAAAGACCTTTCTCTCTGTCTCTCTCTCACACTGGCTAACTCTATCTGTCAAATTAAAAAAAAAAAAAAGATTAAAAGGAACAATTTTTAAGCAATGCAGGATTAATAACTAGCAGAAATTTAAAAAAGTATTTAAAAATTTAAAAACTTCAAGTCATCTGATTATCCCTTAAGGGAGAAAAATATGTTTGGCTTCTCAAACAAAGTTGGGGTGTGAATCATAGCTACCAAGGACTGGATGGGGAGCAGGTGCACTTCTGCCGTCTGTTCCAACTGTTCCGTCCCAGATTCTGGGTTTGCTGTGTGGCAACCTTAATCACAGCCCAGCGTGAAGGCAGAGGTGGTCCTGTCTCCCCATGGTCCCATGATCTGGTTTCTCTGAGCTCGTGGCAGTCATGCTGTAAACACTCCAACCACCTGCCACACACCACTCTAACATTTCCCCTTAGGGGCAGGTGGGGTCAGGGCCAGACAGCTAGAGACCACCACTGTGTCCTGCAGCCCAGGGACCTTGCTCAAATCAGCCACACACCAAGATGGTCTCCAGCACTGCCTAGCTGCCTTCATGGAAAACAGTGAAGGGTCCGGTTCATGCTTTCCCCCTTGCTTCTGCCTCCCGACCCAACCTGGTGCTTCCCCTGTGGCCCTGTGGTGGGGCACGGCAGGGTGGGGCATGCCCCTGTCTCCTGGGACATGTGTGCAGCGAATCCTTCTTTTCGTGACATTGACCTCTCCATGTCATCACTGGGCGCCTTTGTAAATTAAGGTTCGGGCACAAGTCCCCCCAAATAAGCAGCTGCCAGCCATGCTGCCGTCAGGGAACATGGCCTGTTTGGTTGCTCACGAAGAATTAGGAAGGCTTAACCCACATGCCTCGTTGGGCCTTCGGAATCTGTTCCTCCCTCTCACCACCCCCCCAGGTGGCTGGTTTTAGAGAAGGGTCTGTATTATTTTCCCTGAGTTCCTAATTCACCGTCTACTTATGGGAGTGAGGAGAGAGAAATGGAAGACAGATGTTCTGCCAGGAGAGAGCACGGGACGCCCGAAACTCTTAGACCACGACTCCCCAGATGTTGTATTCACCCAGTGCTATTCTCAGGCACTTGGGTGCCACTTGCTGGCTGGAGGGCTTTCGGTTTCTTTGCCTCTGGCGATCCTCACTCCAGAACAGCCTGTCCTTTGAGTGATTTGTTTTTCTGTATGCAGGCGAGGCCGCATCAGTCCTCCAAGGCCAGGGCTGGCGTGACCTTCCCAGGCAGATTGGTTCACTCGCGAAGGCTGGTATTGTGCAGTGAGCACTTGAGTTCCTGCGTTCAGGATCTTGTTGAAGTGGTTCTTTAACCGAGGACAGCAATCACTCGGTGGTTCTTCTGAAGTGTGTTCAAAAGGCAGACTCCTGGGGTTCCTCCCAGAAGAGTGGTTTCAGGAAGTCTAACAAATGGTTTCAGAATCTGTACAAGGACACTTCAGAAAGCTCAAAAAAAAATGCAATCTAAAGATTAAATTTGTTCTGGTGCGAAATAGTTTTGGAATCTGTGAATACAAGGAATCTTCAAAAAGTTCGTGGAAAATATATATTATGGAAAAACTGCAAATGGAGTTCCAATTTTTCTGCACCAAAATAAACTTATCTTTTCATTCCATTTTTCCATGAACTTTTAGAAGTACCCTTGTGTTTCTAGTAGAGGTACAAGGTGTTTCTGATGCCGGGTGCTCAGTGGCCCACACTCTGAGAAACACCAGGCCCTGAATGAGGATGTTTTTAGTGCACCGTAGTGGATTGAGAGGTGGCTCCCAAAGAAGATATGTCCAAGAATCTAACCTCCAGCACCTGTTGAACATGATCTTGTTTGGAAATGGGATTTTTTAAAGATTTATTTGCTTATTTGAATGGCAGAGTTGCAGAGAGAGAGAGAGAGAGATCGTCCATGCACTGGTTCACTCCCCAAATGGCTGCAATGGCCAGTGCTGGGCCAATCCAAAGCCAGGAGCCGGGAGCTTCTTCCAGGTCTCCCATGTGGGTGCAGGGGCCCAAGGACTTGGAACCATATGGGATGCCAGTACTGCGGGTGGTGGCTTTACCCACTATGCCACAGCACCAGCCCCGGAAATAGGATCTTTACAGATATGGTTAAGGTAAAGATCTCAAGGTGATATCATTCTGGATTGTGAGTAGGTCCTGGATCCAGTGACTGGTATCCTTGTAAGACAAAGGAGAGGGAGATTCAAGACCCAGAGACACAGAGTAGAAGGCCAGGAGGAGACAGAGGCAGAGAGGGGACGGATGCAGCCACAAGCCAAGGCATAAACACCTGGAGCCCCAAGAAGCTGGAAGAGGCAGGAAAGGGCCCTTCCCTGGAGCCTTCACGGGGAGCCCAGTCCTGGGGCCACCATGATTTCATACTTCTGGCCTCTAGAACCGCGAGAGATGAATTTCCATTGTTTGAAGCCACCAAATCTGCAGTAATTTGTTACAGCAGTCACAGGAAACTAACACATACACACTCACCCCCTGGGAGCTGAGAAATACATCAAGCATTCCGTGTGGCTCTGCCCTACGTGACACGTGTTGATACAAGCTGGATCACACATTTGCCCAGGAAGGATTTGCCATAGATCTTCTCTGTAAAGGGCAAAATTCTGTGATGTGATCATCTCCTTCAACTTCCTGTGTTTTGGAACGTTACATGTTTCTCCGAATACCTGTAATCTCCTTCTCTCTTTGAGGCTATTTGAAAATAACTTGTTCACTTAACCATCTGATCTCCACAATGTATTTTTGACCAAAGATTCCTTCTGGTGCTCACTGCAGACAACAAATGCTCAAACACCTTGTTCTAAAAGAACATCGACATCAGAACCATCTCCGGTCTCCAGAAAGCTCAGATCTCCCCGGGAGCTGATGTTCTTAGGCTCCGCTCAGAGGCCCCCAGGGCATTTGCCAGCGTCTGATTGGTGCACAGCTCTGCATGCGTCTGCAGACTGCTAAAGAAGCAAGCGGAAGGGCAGTCAGGGGACCACTGACCCTCTCTTCTCTCTGGCCACATGCCTTTTCAGCAGAGCCCCAGGGGACGGCCAGCACTGGCTTCAGGGCCCTGGATAGAAAGCCAGCGACCCAGTAGAGGCAAAAACCATCAGCCAGCCTTTAAGTCAGGGGTCTCAAATGCAAATGCTTACAGGGACCAAGAATAAGCAACAAGGAGTGGTGGGGACAGTGACCAAGACACACATGCCCTTTCTGGATGGGACCACCGGTATGCGGCTGCATCCAGTGACTGCGGGTAGGATGTGGACCTGGGGCCGTCAAGTTGTCCAGTTATTTGTTGAATAGTTTAATTTTTCAAAAAAGGCAGGAAGCTATGTAGCATGCCTCAGGTTTAAAAACATTGTGCAGATCAAGATAAACAAAAATAATAAAACATAGCTAAGGACCGACTGCCAGTTTATGATACTGTTCTGAGTAAAATATAAACAGATCTGATTGCTTGAGCAGACCCTCCAGAAGTAAGAATGCTAGTGGGAGGGTTAGGGAGCTCTGTGTGTGTGTGTGTGTGTTCCTGCACGCACTCACATGCACAGATTAAGTAGGCATTCTGTTTTACTCAGTCTCCCAGGAAGCTGGCAACCCAGTTGTAGAGAAGTATTCAAGTAAAACATCTAGAAGGAAAGTACACTTTGGGTGCTGGCCGCTAGCGGGCAAGATCGGCACCTCTCAAACGTCCCTGTGCACACCAGTCTCCCAGAGATCCCGTTCAAGTGCAGGTTTTGACTTAGTGCATCTAGGGGAGTCTCAGATTCTGTATCAAAACCAGCTCCCGGGAGAGGCCCCTGCTGGTTCTAGGACGGCACTGAGTGTGGAGGCACTCGAACCTGAGTGAGATCCCCAGGCCCCGCCCCCAGAGTGTCTGTAATTCAGAAGATCCAGGGTGGGGCCCGAGAACGCGCATTTCTAGCCCGTTCAAGATGCCTCAGCCTCAGATACTAAAAGGAATCAGAGGAGTGAGCGGTTTTTCCTGGTTGCTTCCTGCAACGTGGGCTCCCGTCTGCAGCTTCTCCTCTGAACCAGGAAGGTGAGGCAGGGCTGCAAGGCTCCCAGCCCTGCGCTTGGAGGGGCTTCCCTGCTGGCATCTCGCCCTG